TTCCCTTGGCGCTGTAGCTCTGCCTCCATGTGTGGGAAGTTTCGCAGGTCCCTGCGTTGCAGCCGACTTGTGAGCAGTTGCAGCCTGCTTTTGAAGGTGCTCACAGAACTGATCATGTGGATTATGTTTTTGTCCTTTGTCCTGAAGCTCCAAATTCAGTTAATTGAGCAGGCTGGTGAGATCTGTGAGGAAGGCTAAATCCAAAAGCCACTGGGTGTCCTCTAGTTTTGAATGTTCACCATGATCTGACAGCTTCAGAAAATCCCTGATCTCAGGCAACAGCTCACTGAATCTGTCCAGAAATGTACCTCTGCTTAGCCACCTGACGTCCATGTGCAGCAGCAGGTCTGTGTGGTCTGCTCCTGCCTCCTCCAAGTGAGCCCGGAACAACCTCCTCTGCAGACTCCTGGCCCTTATAGAGCACACAGTTTTCATGGCAACATCCATCACTTCCTTCATGTTTAAAATCTTCCCACACAGGGCCTGTTGGTGGATGATGCAGTGATAGTGCAAAATGTCTGGGAAAGCATCATTCTGCTTGCAGAGTGCAACAAATCCACTGGTGTGACCAGTCATTGCTGGAGCGCCATCAGTTGTTATAGAAATTAGTTTAATGAGGGGCAAGTTGCTTTTATTAACAAACTCCATAAACGCATTAAAAATATCTTCTCCTCTTGTGTGACCCTTCAAAGGCAAGATGGTGAGCAGCTCCTCTTTTGCACTCATGTCTGCAAAGGCCATTCTGATAAAAACACACAGCTGGGCTACATCCACCATGTCTGTCGACTCATCAAACTGAAGAGATAAACACTCGCATTGTTCCACGTCCTTTTTTAGCTGCTCCTCCACATCCACAGCCATTCCCTCACATCGCCGTGTCACTGTTTGTCTGGACAACTGCACGTCTTTAATAGCAGCTACGATCTCACTTTTATTTTTAAAATCATGAAAAAGCGCATCTGCAGCCTCAATAAACGCTTCTTTCATAACTTGTCCATCGCTGAAAGACTTCTTATGTTGAGCCAGGATGCGGCTAACACGGTAGGAAGCTATCGTAGCAGCTTTACCTTTTGTGCTGGGCCGAGTGAAGACTGATTGCTGGGCTGCAAGCTTGTTTTTTAGCTCCCGCACTTTCTGAGTCCGTAAAGAACTTTTAAGAGGGAAATCTGTCTCAAACCGTTTGTGCATCGTCTTGAAATGCCGCTCCAAGTTACACTTTTTGGGTAAGGCAACGCTCGAATTACAGATGAGGCAAATGGACTTCGAATTAGAATAAACAAAAAAATACTCCTCCTCCCACTCTGTGTGAAAATAATAAGTTTTCGTTTGCTTGTTCGCTAGTTTTCCATCCATGTTTTCTGCGCACCGACATTACTCCACTACTGAGCCTAAAGTCTCGTGAGAGCGCTGTGTCACCGCACCCAAAACTCGCGAGACTATGTCTGTGAGAATACAAGTCAAGGTTTCGCTTCGCAGGCGACTGGGAACCAGCTCGACTGGTTGGGCACACCAGCACTAGACTGAGGAACAGCTTCTACCCTGAAGCTGTTAGACTCATGAATCTCTAACCAGGACAATCACTGAGAAAAATCACATCATGTTGCCATGAAGAATAACTTCCGCATGGATTTGAGGCGATTCTGGTCCACCATCCGACATTTCGGGGGGGGGGGGGGGGGGGGGGGGGGAGCGGTACGCCATCAACACTGTTTAGAGTGGGGGTGGTGTGCTGTTGACCTGAGGGGGGGG